TTTCAACATTTTGAGTAAGAGCTGTGTATTATGAACACTCAAGTCCTAAGAAGCAAATTCCTGACAAATTCTTACATTTCTCTATGCAATAGAGTTGTTCCTCACTATCCTCAGGGGATAGATTCTGAGAGGCCCTTGGATACTTCAGATCTTTAGATGCTCAAGTCCTTTATCTAAAATAGCATCATATATATATACATATATATATATAATATATATCATATACATAAGATATCAGATATATGTATATATAAAATATGTGCATATCCCCCTATACTCTAAATAATCTTTAGATTACTTATAATACTATACTTAAATACTATATAAATGTTTTTTTTATTTTTTATTTATTTTTTTTTTCTTTTTCTTTTTTTTTATTGTGAAAATACCATACAGAGAACTGTATTGTTTCAGGATTAATGACAAGAAGGGTCTGTACATGTTGAGTACAGATTTGATTTTTATTTTCTGAATAATTGTAATCCTTTGTTGGATGAGTGCACAGACATGGAACCTTTGGGTATAGTAGACTGACTTTACTGCCTTTAGGCTCAGGAAGAGGAGAAGACTTATACTGGGCTCCGTACTTAGAGCAGTGATCCTCAACTAGAGGTAAACTTCCTCTTAGAGGATATTTAGATATTTCTATAGAGATTTTTGTTCTGTTAACGCCCCCCCCCCAGTGGTGGATACTACCAGAAACTAGTGTACAGAAGTCAAATATGGTGCAAAGTATCCTTCCCTACACAGATTAATTTCACATAGCCAAGTAATCATCTGCTATAAAACGTCAATCGTGGCCAGCGTTAATAATCCTGATACAGAGGGCTCTTCCAATCCTCTCCCAGAGGATTGGAAGTCTTTGGTCAGAGGTCTTTGGTCAGAGTTGTGCTCTCTCCCTGGAGCCTGCTCTCTATTTTAGTACTGTTTTCAAAGCATCAGCTCCAAATTTTGGGGGTCCCATCTGACATTTTATGAATGATGAGATCTCCACTGAGGTCTCACAGGTGATTCTGGTGAAAGCTAACAAATATTCTTGTTAAAAGACTGGATCATTTTTAGCAGCTTACTAGCTTTTTTTATAGCATGAAAATATATAGACATACAGTAAGTGAGCCTCCATTTGTACTGTCACTGTAGGCATTGGGATAGATGGTTTTGTAAATTTTCTTCTTCAGTGCTCCTCACAAAGCATGTTAAGTGTGCATTCCCTATACAGACTCTTAGAATACTATAAGTTGGATGCTTAATCACTGGTAAGATGCTCTTTTCTCTTTTGTTGTCTATACAAATTAGTCTCTTGACATAATGGAAAACGATGTTAAGTGTTTAAGCAGAAGCAATACCAATTGTTTAAAGTAATTTAACTAGTGGGAGGAAGTTGGACTGGGAGGAAGATAAAGGAGGTAGAACTCTGATGTAATAGATCGTTTGCAATTATGAAAATAGAACAATTAAAACCTGTTGGGATTTTTTGGGGGGAGGGGAGCAAGGCAAGTGATAGTGGGGATGATATTGTTTGGAATGCAGTGTAAATATAACAATGAAACTTCCCATGGAGACTAATCTAAGCTAATAAAAAGCAATTTGAGCAGAAAGTTCCAGATGCCTTTTTAATAGCATGATTTATACTATATAGTTTTAAAAATTAAAAAGTACAGATATACATATTCTTGTTACAAGAGTACATTGTGCTGAAATAAGGTTACAGGATGACCCATTGTAACAATGAGATGTACAGCCACTGATGAGAATGAACTTTATAACTTCGGGGTGGGAGGGGGGAAGGGAGAAGTTGAGGAGGTGGGGAGGGAAGGGATGGTAGGGGAAAAACAAAAGAGGAGGAAATGTACTCATTACCTTACTCATGTAACTGTAACCCCTCTGTACAGTGTTTTTATAATAAAAATATATGCAAAAAACAAGAGTATATTGGTACTATTTGGAATTTACAATATTGATCAAACATTTACAGTTTTATTTAATGATTCTTTATGTCTAAGAATCACTCCATTTGTGGATTGAATACCTTCTCAGATTTAGTGTACTGCTTGATGACTGCATAATGATATTGTACTGTTGATTTGAAATTTGCTTAGATTGTTGATCTTGAGTTCTAATCACAAAATGGTAACTATGTAGGAGATGGATATGCTAATTAACTCCAGTCTGATGAATATTTCATGATATAGACTTCTAGCCAAATGTCACATTGTATACCTTAAATGTATAGATTTATTCGCCATGAATACCTCAATGGAACTGGATAAAATAGTAAGAAAAATTGAAGTCACGCACATGCTCAAATCTTGTTCAATTGTAGAAACAGAAATGCATAAATTCACTCATTGTGCTTCTAATGAGCCATATGATGACATTATTCATGTTGAAAGATTTATTTTTATGCACAAGAAACATGCCAGTGATTAAGAATTTCATGGAAAACTAATTTCTGTAATGATACTCCCCTCTCCCTGATGAATAATGTCTTAAACTTTCCACTTAAGGTAATTGAAAGATTCAAGCTAAGTAGCTTTTCTTCTTGGAAGCTCCTAAGTAGAAATGAAGCACATACTCTGGGGTGCTGTGCAGAGCCCATTCTCAAGGTTACTAAAGAGACTGGGGCTGTTAAGAGGCAGAAGTGATCTTTGTGGTGCTTTTCCTACCCAGCATGTCCTATGGGGTATTGCCCTCCTCTTGATGGTCCCTTGTCATCTGATGAATCAACAGACTAAAGAGAGACTGGATTAATCAACGCAATCTGAAAGTGATTGTCCATTGGCTATTGTTGATAAAATGCCTGGCCTGAAGAGGTTCACAGATAGTTCTGTTGAAGAAGCGAATTCCCAGGGTACAGGTATCAGGAACTTCATTACTGGCACATATGGCCTCTGATGTTCATTCTTTCCTTCCTGTAGGGCCTCTATACAAAGTGCATCTGGAGTTGATAAAAGGAAGTTGGTGAAGGAAAAGAAAAATTCTTACTTGTCTGTGAAAAAGATTTCTGTGACATCTTCAAAAACTGAATAATTCATTCGAATTTCTAAACTAATTTAAATCTTGTGAAACTGTTCTTACAATGCTATTAAAATCGGGGCATTTGTCTTAAAATCAAAGGATTATAATTCATTCATTTTTCAAGGATTGTTTTAACTTATGCCTTTTTGTCCTCAGATGTTCTCTTTTAGAGGTCTTTTTTTATTATTTAAAAAATAGCAAAATTTAGAGAAGAGTTTGGTTTTTCTATTTTTTTGCTGGTCCTGGGGCTTGAACTCTTGGCCTAGGCTCTGTCCCTGAGCTTCTTTGTGCTCAAGGCTAACACTCTACCACTTGAGCCACAGCTCCACTTCTAACCTTTTCTGAGTATTTTATTGGAGATAAGAGTCTCATGGACTTTCCTACCCAGGCTGGCTTTGAAGCATAATCCTCAGATCTCAGCCTCCTGAATAGCTAGGATTACAGGCATGAGCCATTGGTGTGATTTTAAAACTTTATAAAAATAATTAGTAGCTAGATGAAATTTTAATGCCATTTAAGTCTAACTTTTCTACCTGTTTTCTACACTCCCATTCAAAATGGAGTGTAGAAATTTTTTTTTTAAGTTACTAAGCAGTCAGGTACTGGTGGCTCACACTTGGTGGCTGAGATCTGAAGGTCATGGTTTGAAACCAGCATGGGCCAGAAAGTCTCTGCAACTCTTATCTCTAGTTAACTACCAAAACCCCAAAAGTAAAGCCTGGAATGAAAAAGCTAAAGGAAAATGCCCAGGCCCTGAGTTCATGCCCCAGGATTGGCACACAGACAAAAAAGTCACTAACGCATAAAAATGTGGTACTGCTAGCGCTTCAGCTTTTTCAGGTTCGTGTGGAGCCACAATGCACTTAGCACTGTTGTAAGTTAATTTTTGGATTTTTCCAAACACTTCCCGCAAGGAATAATTCCATATGCATACCATTTCCACCATGACTTGCACCCTGACCTTCTCTCTCCACAGCTTTCATCAGACAAGCTCACCACTCACTTGCAGAGCAGAGAGAAGCCTTTCCAATTTGAATTCTCTTGATGTATTATTCTACCCTTCTCCAACTTCAGCAGCATGGCTGCGTCCTTCTCTTTTATTTCCCCTGGTATCCAAAACCCTCTTGCCTGTCAAAAACGAATCTCTTCTTTTTCTACCCTTGATAATACCAGGTTGTTAATTTTTCAGTTAAAACAAAAAAGAATGGCAAAGATCTTCTTTAAGCCTGGATCGACTATGGGAAAAACGAATTCTTTCCCAAAGAGTGGGGTATTTTATGATAAAAATCTAAATAGTCTGCTACCTAAGATTTTAAATCTTGGATATAGTACAACCACATTTCTCTGAATGATCAATGAGATACCCGCAGACAAGCCTTGGTGGACCTTGTAAGAATTCAGCAAACAAAATGAAATAGTCTAACTTCCATCTTCATTATTATAGGGAGTCTTAATCTGTAGTGTCAAAGAAGTTTGAATACATTGAGAAGAATCCATCTTCAATTTTGATACTAGCTATCTATCTATCTACACACACACACACACACACACACACACACACACACATAGTGGCCACTGATTCTCTTTATTTGCTATTTATTTTGTTTATGATTTATTATATTGTAGGATTACAATGGACAAGAAAAAACAACTAGATAAATTTTATTTTGCTTTTGATCACTGTTTAAAGTTGCTCATGTTTTTACATGAAATTTTATATTGTGTGTATTAAAACTCTGACCTTAAATGAAGTTCGAATACATGTTAGCAGATATAATCATTTGTATCATAATAAAATAACTTGGGTTTCTGTACTTTTAATAATTTTCCCTCTTGCTAATAATATTATATCCCATTAAATCTCTCTTAAACAAAAATATCTCCATGACATACTGACTAAAAATTTAATGCTATTTAAAGAAAAAAAGTAAGTGCAAAGATCATTGTATTTTGGTATTTATGTAGCATTTGCTTTATACCAGAGAACCTTCTATGACTGAATTGATACAAGAACGGGAGAAAGACCAGCAGTGGCTGACACTACATTCAAATTGGAAGAGCCTCAATGGGACAGCCTTGCATGAACTACTGGTACCTGGGTAAGACCTGTCCCCTAATAGCCATGGGATTCAGATGGTAAAACAAGAGTTTATAAATAGGAGATCACTTTTAGTATAAGGTAATACAAATTGGTCAGGCTAAAAATGGAGGCCCACAGCTACTCAGAAAGCAAAGATCAAGAGGAATGACGCTTAGAGACAGTCCAGGCAAAAGTTCTTGAGAACCAAGGATGGTGGTCCAGAGCTGTAGTATCAGTTAGGTGAAAGGCAAAAGCAAGAAGTTCATGGTCAGCTGAGAAGACACATGTGTCACTTTATCTAAAACAACAACCAACTGAAGTGAAAGAGGTTGGGAGGAAAGCTCAAGTGGTAAGACACCTGCCTACAGGCTCTGAGTTCAAAACCTAGTACCAAAAAATCAAAATTTTCAATAGCAATAAAGAGCTTCCATAACTGGCATTTGGTATTTATATTTCATTTCTCCTTTCCAGGTAGGTTTTTTTTCTTTTTAGTTAATTGCACCTTCCATTAATCATAATTACAGAAGTTATCATAGTGCATCCTATCTTGGGTTCTCTTCCTGGAGTTTTCCCACATTCTATTTGAAACAATGCTGTATCTACATTTCTACAACTGCTATATGGGATGAGTTAACAGGAAATTAAAGTAATAGTACAAACAATTGGAGGGTAAGAGAAAAGACACAAAAGGAAATTATTATCATGTAACCTTGAATGTACATCTAAGTTCCTTCCCTCCCAAATCTGGAAAGCTCTTGTTTATGGGTAGGCTGTGGGGAGAAGATAAATGGGGAAGGAATCAACTCTTCTTAAGGTCTTCTTATAGTATGGTCATCTGACTTTATACACACTGACCCATTTAATTCTTACAGTAGACTCATCAGTTATAATTATCCTACTTTTACAAGAAAGGAAACTATAGAATAATTAATAATTAAGTAAATTGTTCAGAATTTATAATCTGCAGACGGTAAATTCTGCACCCATAATTCTGAGTATTTGTCAAGTAAAGTACTTCTCTCAAAAACAGTGTCCAAAATCTCTCAGCTGAGTAATGAATGAGTCTTGAAACTGGGAATACCCAAAACACCTTTTTTAGATCAAGTAAATGGATAGATAATTCATTCTAATTGGAAGTTGCCAAACTTGGGTTCAGTCCTGGTTCACATAGATGTGTAATGTTTGCTACAGAGGGTTGAATGGAATGGATCCCCTTTGATAATTTTTTGAATTTTTTTTAATTTAATTTTATTTTATTTGTGAACATACTGTACAGAGGGGTTACAATTGCATGGGCAGGATAATGCGTACATTTCTTACCAAGCATTGCAGCCTCCT